CGGTGGCGGGCGCGGGGGGGGCGCGCGGGGTGGGTCGGGTGCGATGGCGGAGTCGGATGAGCGCCCGAGCTCGCGCGCGGGGCCGGCGCAGGCTGAGATTTACCTCCCGAATTACCGCATTGGAAAGACGCTCGGCATAGGGTCGTTCGGTAAGGTGAAGGTTGCCGAACACGTCTTGACGGGACACAAGGTGGCGATCAAGATTTTAAATAGGAAAAAGATCAAGGCGATCGATATGGAGGAGAAGGTGCGACGGGAGATTAAAATTTTGCGTTTGTTCATGCATCCGCACATCATTCGGTTGTACGAGATTTTGGAGACGCCGCACGACATCTTCTTGGTGATGGAGTACGTCAAGAGCGGGGAGTTGTTCGATTACATCGTGGAAAAGGGACGATTGGGAGAGAATGAGGCGAGACACTTTTTCCAGCAAATCATATCCGGGGTGGAGTATTGTCATCGAAACATGGTGGTGCATCGAGACTTGAAGCCGGAAAACTTATTGTTGGACTCGAGGAACAACGTGAAGATCGCTGACTTTGGCCTGTCGAACGTCATGCGGGACGGTCACTTTTTGAAGACATCGTGCGGAAGTCCCAACTACGCCGCACCAGAGGTCATCAGCGGGAAGTTGTACAGCGGTCCAGAGGTGGACGTGTGGAGTTGCGGGGTCATTTTGTACGCCCTACTGTGCGGGTCGCTCCCGTTCGACGACGAGAGCATTCCGAATTTGTTCAAAAAGATCAAGGGTGGTATATATACTCTACCTAGTCATCTCAGTCCGGGAGCGAGGGACTTGATCTCCCGCATGCTCTTCGTCGATCCGCTCAAGCGCATCACCATGGCTGAGATTCGCCAGCACCCGTGGTTCGTCGTGCACCTGCCGCGCTACCTCGTGGTGCCGCCGCAGACACAGATTTCCCAAACATCCAATCTCGACGGCGAGACGCTAGACATGGTGGTCAATCTTGGGTTCGAGCGAGAGCCGCTGATTTCGGCGCTGCAGCATCAAGTGCGCAACAAGGCGACGGTCACGTATTACCTTCTCCTCGACAATAGACGAAACATTTACGGTGGATACTTGGGCGCGGAGTACGACGACGCGGAGATGATGGCCGAACATAATAATATGCGTGGGCACGGCGTGGCGTCCGCGCTCGGTGTGCGACGACCAAGCCAAATCCAGTCGCACATGATGCAAACGCGTCTCGTCGCGGAGCAGCGTTGGATGCTAGGGACAGCGTCAAAGATGGGCGCACAGGACGTCATAAATGAGTTGCTTCGTGTGTTGAGAGCTATGAACATTGCTTGGAAGAAGAATGGACCGTACAACATGAAGTGCATGTGTGTGTTCCATCCTGACAATGACGGCGAGATGGACGCCGGAGACTACGGCGAGAGCGACGCGATGGAAGCGGATGCCGGCGATGTGAGCATGGCCACCCGTTCGCATGCGCCCGGAAATGCGCGCGAACCGTCCGTGCTCAAGTTTGAGCTGCAAGTGTACAAGTTACCGAACGATAGACTGATGGTTGATTATCAACGCGTGGAGGGTGGCGTCATGGTAGCGTTGGATTTCGCGGCAAAGTTGATGACTTTCATGAACCTTCAATAGATCCGAAAAAGAACACTTTGTGATATAACTCGAGAAAACGATAGCATCAACGGATGTCCCTAGGTACTAAAATTACACGAGTCTATTCATCTTCTTCGGCGACGGCGACGCACGCATATGCCGCATCGAATAGATGGTCGAGCTTAACTTCAGACAAGTAGCGTCTCGCTGCCGCCTCCGAACGAAGCTGCTCGAAGGTGAAGCGCTTCAAATGGTGCACGGTCGAAACTCCTTTCCACACGCACGTGCACTTGTTCTTCTTATCGTCGTCAACCTCCATATCGTCGTTCAGCGAAGCGTTCCAATCGATGCGGCGTGTCATGAGCTTGTCGTATCGACGAATCGATTTCGCGGTTCCCTCGACGATGACGATAGTGAAAGTTTCGGTGATTATACCGACGCCTAGTGTGAAGTATGAAGTGAAACATTTCGGTCAGTCGATGCTCTCGTTCGTTCGGATCGCTCTCATCGAGGAACGCGCGTTGTCTCAGGAAGCGGTTTACTCTATCAAAGCCCTAAGGCTCTGAGGCTTTCAGTACTATTGTTTTCGCGCATTCATCAAGGACAGACGACGCGAAATCACGTCATCGATATCATGCATCGCGTGCGTTCGAAAGATTCGTACCTGTCAAGTGATTTTCTTGCGCGTTGATGTCCACCTTGAACTTGTTCTTCGTGTTCGACATGTCCTCGATGCGGTACACGCGCATGTGAACCTCTCCAGAGGCGTCATTTCCTAGCAGCTTGCGCATTTTCTTCTCGCGGCGTTCTGCCGGAGTGAGCATGCGCGCCATATTTCTGTCCATATGTGCCTGCTCCCTCTCGGCCATCTGCTCTCTGACCTCTCGCTCCATGGCGGTCGGGTCGAGAACTGCCTCGTCCTTGAGAACGCGCATCAAGTTGGATATTTTCACCTTTGGTTTCGGAGGCTCAATCAAGCCTTGCCTGATCATCTCTTGCTTTTCCTTCTCCCTCGCGACGCGTCGCTGCGTACGAAGCTTTTTCTGCTCAGCCTTAGTCAACATTAGAGGTTGTGGCGCCGGTGCCGGCCCATCCAACGGAGGCTTTATCGGAACCGGATGCTGTACGTACACGTCAAACTTGTCCATGTTCACGTTCCAGTTCCCGTTCATGACGTCGTCATACGTGCCGTTCTGCAGAAGTTCCTTATCCCACCACTCTACGTCGGGAACTTCGGCGGCGGGGGCGATTGGCCGCGCTGCGCTCGCCCCTTTTGCGACGGATGGGCGCTCGCCGACAGGAACCAAGTTGGGATCCATCTCCGCCTCCTTCTGTAGGGTTTCCATGTGCGCGGCGTGTCTTTTCTCGCGCTCCGACCGATCGGTGATTCGTTTTGCCTTCTCATCACCAAACTGTAGACGCAGACGATGCATGTCGGCCTCCTTTTGGAACTTGCCATCCTCGACAAACTGCGAAGAGAAAAAATAACCGAATGGTCAGTCTCGGTGTTGAGCCGAAAAATGAATGTGGATCAAATGGTAGGAAGAGAGAGACCGTGACTAAAAACACCTGCCCCGCCGGCAAATCCGATCCGCTGTTTGATGTCGCAAGCCTAAAAATTGCAATGTGACATGAAGAGGTCTCACGACAGAGTGTAGCTTGCTTTTTCTCGCGCAAAAAAATAAACGAGTGTGAAATCGAATGTACCGACGAAGCGTAACCCACGTGAGTGAATAAACTCCCGCGAGTATTAGTGCGCAGGCCTTTCTCTGTAGCATTCTTGTAGTCTCCAAGGGGCATTTCGTGAGATTAACCTCGGAGCTTTGAAAGATGCGTTGAAGCAAAAAAATCGAGTCCTCGACGCGCGGGACAAAACGTACCTGCAAAGTGCTCCGAGCCTTGCGTGATCTCCCCGAGAAAGCGCGCATCCTGGGATCATCGTACTCGCTCCCGATCTGCGCGACCATCTCCGCCTGCGCCTGCGCTTGCGCCTGCGCGAACGCCGCCGCGCGCTGTTGCTTTAAGTTTGCGCTCAGCGCCGACGACTCGATGACCTTGTGAACGACCAAGTTCCCGCGTTCGTCAACCTCGCGCCCTTGCGCGTCCAACCGCAGCGCCATCGGCGCCGCGCGCGGCCGTCCACTCGCCGCGCTCGCCTTCTTCGCTTCATCCGCCTCCTTCTTCGCCTTGAGCTTGGCCGCGAGCTCCTTTTGCTTCAACAGCGCCTCCTTCTGTTTCAGTAGCGCCGCCTTGTCCAACTTTGGCTTCACCCTCGGTTTCTCCTCCACCGCCCGCTCGCTCGGCGTCTCCGCGTTCTCACCCGATCCATCCTCCCATCGCCGACGTTTCGTCCGCGGCACCGACGCGTTCGCGCCCTCCGCGTCCTCGCTCGGCGCGCCGCGTTTCGTCCCGCGCGCGTCCCCCGCCGCGTCCACCTCCTTCACCCCCCCCGTCCTTCGTCCGACCCCGCTCGTCCCCACCGCATCGACCGTGGCATCGTTCGCGTCCGCCGCCCGTCGCGATCGCGCCCGTGGTCCCGTCGCGTCCGCCGTTCCCGCCCCGTCCGAGGTCGTCGTCCCGTCGCCCTCGATCGTCGTCATCCCTCCATTCGTCCCTCGCGTCGACCGCGTCGACCGCGTCGGCATGGTCCGAGCGCCGCGCCCGCGCGCGCGTCCACCGCGCCCGCG